AGGACCAGCAGCGCCACCAGCAGCAGCAGCAGCATCAGCAGGCCCAGGCCGATGCCCAGGCCGAGGGCCAGCCCGCGCGAGGAGGGCCCGGCCGAGCGCAGGCAGTCCTCCTTGGCGGGCCCGGTGCACTCGGTGCAGCCGGCCTGGCAGGCGGCGCAGGCGGCCGGCGAGGCGGCCCAATCGGCGAAGGTCCCCGCCGGGCAGGCCCGAGTGCATGTGGCCTCGGCCAGCAGGAGGAAGGAGGCATCGCACTGGCTGCAGGCCGGGATGGCCGGGCAGGTGAGCGACCCGTCGGCCGCGACGCTGCAGCCGGGCTGGCTGGCGGTGGCATCGCACTGGGCGCAGTTGGCCGGGCAGGCGAGGCACGCCCGGGCCGGGGCCAGGATGGCAGCCGTGCCGGCCGGGCACGACCCGGCGCACGACCCGGCCCCCGGCAGCAGCAGCAGGCCATCCAGGCAGCTGGTGCAGTGGTCGCCCCGGCCGGCGCACGTGTCACAGGGCGCGGCACAGGGCTGGCAGATGGCCGACTCCGCCGGGGCGAAGGTCCCCAGGGGGCAGGCCTCGAGGCACTGGTGCCCGGCGAGCAGGCCCCCCGGCAGGCAGGTCAGGCAGTCGGCCTGGCAGGTGCCGCCCGGGTGGCCGGGCGCCGCCTGGCAGGTGGCACACCCCCCGGGGCAGGCCGCGCACTGGCCCGCGGCGAGGCAGGCAAAGAAGCCCCCCGGGCAGAGGGGGACACAGGTGCCCTGGTGGAGGAGGCTGCCCGGCGGGCAGGCCGAGCACTGGCCGCTGCCGGGCCCGGAGCACTGCAGGCAGGAGGCATCGCAGGGGGCGCACTCGTGGCCGGACTGGTCGGCCGGCTGGTGGTAGTGTGCCTGCGGGCACTCGGCCAGGCATGCGCCCTGCAGGAAGAGCCGGTCCCCCGGGCAGGTGGCGCAGTCGGACGTCGACGGCCCGTCGCAGGTGGCACAGGTGGGGGCACACGGCTGGCAGGCCCCGGCGCTGGCGAAGGACCCCTCCGGGCAGGAGGCCTGGCAGGTGCCATTGGCCAGCACATGCGCGGGGTCGAGGCAGGCCGCGCACTGCCCGGGCCCGGGCCCGAAGCACGCCGCGCACGAGGCGTGGCAGGTGATGCACAGCCCGCCCTGGGCCGAGGTGTCCCCGGGGCAGGAGTCCACGCAGTCCGGGCTGGCCAGCAGCCAGCCGCGCTCGCACTGGCCGCAGGTGTCCGCCTGCTCCGGGCAGCTGGCGCAGTGCGCCCCGCAGGGGGCGCACCCGGCCGCCGAGGTGTGGTGCCCGGCCGGGCAGGCCGGCACGCAGCGCGTGGGCG